CTTGTCAGGTGAAATGACTTTTTAAAATTGGAACATAGTTGCTATACAATATTACATTGGTTTCAGTTGTTACATACATCAGGAAATGCTCACTGTGATAGGTGTGGTTCCTGTCTCTCACCATACAAAGTTATGACAATAGTATTGGCTATATTCCCTATGCTATACCTTTATCCCTGTAACTTACTTATTTTATAACTGGAATTTTGTATTTCTTGATCCCCTTCACCTATTTACCCATCCCTCTACACCAATCCCTTACTGCAACCACCAGTCTGTTCTCTGTGTTTTTTAGTCTGTTTCTGTTTTGTTTGTTCATTTGTTTTGTTTTTAGATTCCTCATATGAGTGAAATCATATGGTATTTGTCTTTCTCTGACTTCACTTAGCTGATGATTGTTATTTAACAGCTGTCACATCTGTGTGTTAAAGTCAAAGAAAATCTCTGAGGGTAGATGTGAGGATGATCTGTGGGTAAGTGAGTTAAAAACAGTAGTTTTACTACAGACTTTATATGGTTTATTCTGAGTCTGTTTTTACATTCCTGCTTTCATACACTCTGAGCTGTTACTGTTTCATATGAAAAGCGACCTCTAGGGAGGAAAGCCTTGCACAGGGGTACATTCCTGCCAGAGGCTGTCAATTTTGGTTATTGTAGGCAAATCAACTTCTCTGGTCTCGGTTTGCTTGTCTGTAAAATGGGGAGGCTGGACGGGATGGCCTCCAGAGTCCTGTCATGTTCTCATGTGTCAAGAAGTAGTTCAGCAGAGGGGAGTTTAAAAAGTTCTAAGACCAAAGTGTCTGGAGGATTGAACGACCCCTGTGGACTGAGAATGTCATGGGTGTCTTCCAGGGGGAGGTTCAGATTTAGAAAGGGCAGAAGGGGAAAGGTAGGCTGATGGGGAAGTGGGTCTTGAAAGTACAAAGCCTTTTCAGAGGAAAGCAGTTATTGTGTAAAATATAGATAACAAAAAATTTACCATTTGAACCATTTTAAAGTGTACAGTTCAGTGACATTAAGTACATTCATACTGTTATGAACCATCATCACTGCCCATTTCTAGAACTTTTTGATCATGTCAAACAGAAACTCTGTACCCATTAAACACTCACTCCCCATTCCCTGTTCCCCAAGCCCTTGAGAGCCCCCGATCTACTTTCTGTCTCTCTGAATTTGACTCTACAGCCCTCATGGAAGCACAGCCAAACAGTTTTTGTCCTTTGGTGCCTGGATTATTTCACTGAGCACATGTTTTTAAGGTTCCTTCATGCTGTAGCAGGTGTCAGAATTTCCTTCCTTTTTAAGGCTGAGTAATACTCCATTGCATGGATGTATAGACCACACTTTATCCATCCACGTGTGGATGAAGGTTTGGATTGTTTCCATCTTTCAGCTATTTTGAGGAATGCTGGTATGAACATGTGTGCACACATACCTTTTGAAGTCTCTGATTTCATTTCTTTTGGGTGCATATCCAGAAGTGGAATTGCTGGATCATTTGATTCTGTTCAGCTTTTTGAGGAACTGCCAAACTGTTTCCCACAGGATATTCTCCATTCCCACCAGCCCTGAAGGGGGGCTTCACTGTTTCTCCAAAGGGAGAGTAGTTGTATGTGCTCAATACAAACCAGCCTCACTGGTGCCCAGATTTCCCATGAAGCAGGGGCAAGACCCACAGTTAGGACAGCAGAGGGGGGTCAGGTTCTGGAAGGTTTTGAAGGCTTGGCCTTGGTATTGGTAGTATATTCTGCAGTCCGTGGGCAGTTGGTGGCAGCTTCTTTTGAGGGAGGGATGCAAGTTGAGAGCTACTGTAGGAAGGCCGTGGGCTGGAGGATGTGTGCAGGGTGGACTGGGCCCTGGAAGCGGGCTGTGGCTTGGCAGAGGGCTGCAGTTATCCAGCTGGGAGACCGAGGTGCCATACCAGCAGGTAGGAAAAGTGGGGATGAAAGTGGATGCCTTCTGGGATCAGTGGGGCCTCACCGGCCACCACCTGTGTACCTTCATGTCGAGTGAGGGTCAGGAGTGGTACCTCCCTGACCTTCAGCATCTTGATTTCTGATGTCCTAAGTTGAAGACAGGATGTAGGGAGGGGGCCTGCACCTGGGGAGCTCCTTGCCTAGTGAAGGAGCAGACGTTTCCAACAGGCCGTGGAGCTGTATCTGGGACACTTGGAGGCGTCCCCCACCTCGGGCCTGGCCCCTTGCATAGGATGAGGTGAGGGCATTAGGCTGCTTGTGCGGGGAGTGGAATCACCAGACTGAGAGTGAGCTCAGCACTGATGAAGAGACACAAGGGAAAGGACAGGGCCAGTTCGGGTGCCTGAGCTCGCTCCAAAGTTCTTCCTTTGGTCTTTAATTTGCACTGTGCATCAAAACAGTAGTGTCCTGTGCAACCCCGCTTTGCTTTGTGTTTCTCATTGTACCTGCCAGTCTAGTGACTGCAAAAACACTCTTGCCTTGGAGTAACCCGACCCCTCTGGCTTTCAGCCCTTCTGTGTTTCCACCACTGAAGATTTCCAGGAGGCACAAAGATCCCCTTAGATGTTGTGCTTCGTGCTAGGAGATGGTGCTCTCTGTATGCAGGTGTGGGAGGGTGTGCCTAGGGCGTGGTGGGCTGGGTGTTTTGGTAGACATAGGTTGCAAGACAGTTTTAAGTAACTTATTTAAAACAGATGGAATTAAGGGACCTGCAATCAGATTTGTAAGGCATAATTAACTTGATAAGGCCGAATATGGGGAAATAATGTGAAAAGTTGATGTAACAACTCTTTCAAGGTCTACGGTGGACAAGGCAATGAATATACAAATGAAGTCATGGTGCCCAAGATCAGCCTGGCTGTCCTGGCCTCCCTGAGAGGAAGGGGCTGCACTGGAAGCCAGCAACCTGCCTGCCAGCCGATGCCCACAAAGGCATTCTTACATGTTGTAGGAATCATTATAAGAATTATTGCATTCTCTGGTTTTTTATAAATAGAGGTCCATCCCTTGAGGTGGGTTTGTATCTATTTCTACCTGTATTTTCCAATCTGTAGATTCAGATCTTAAAAAGTTAGTGATTCTTATCCTGGTGCTGAGAAAGAAAATGACTCAATTCAAAAAACAATCTGCAGCCCACATACATTTTCATCTGCAAGTTAAACTGTCAGCAGCCTTTTGCACATTTACTGCTGTGTCGAGATGGTGCACCTGCTGGCACCGAGCAGCAGAAGCGTGGCAGTCTTACTGCTGCTTTGCGGAGATGCTCTGTTACCAAGTGCGCCTCCTCCTCACTCAGCTCAGCTTGGGCCCTGGGAGCTGGGGGTTCACACAGCTGCTGTAGACGGTCTTAGAGGTGGGAAGGGCCTGTTTCCTCTCTGAGTACTAATTGCTTGAAAGAATTAACAGACTTTGAAAGGAACCACTTCACATTTTCAAAGAAGGCCTTTGAGCTTCCTCAGAAATGAACCTTCTTCTTCTTCCACGGAGAGCCCCTGCAGGGATGCTGAATCCTGTTCCCACACGAGCTCAGCTTCCCTGACTTTAAGGTCCTGCACGGTATGCCCTGTTAGCCCAGAATCAATGAAGGCTTTGGAAGGGAACTCAGGCTTTGTGCCTCTGTGCCTGGGTCCGTAAGTCACCTGCACTGGCTGCCAGCAGGCTGCATGCTCAGAACTTGTAGGCAGCCCCCTGGGACAGCTGAGACATGCGGCTCCCTTGGCCGTCTGCCCGGACGAACTCCTCTCTCTGCAGCTGATGGATGTAAACTTTGAACAGGATCAAAGAGGCCGTGAAAGCTGCTGTAGGATGAAAAGCTCCAAGGCAAAGGACAGAGAAAAGAACCTGGCGGTGTTTGTGAGGAAGTCCTGTAGTTACAGGGAGGGCAAGGAAGAAAGGAGAGGAGTGGTTTGAGAGAGGCCTTGAGCTCTGGAACTGACCCTGGGCAGGTCCTTGCTGGAGATTAACTTTAGAAGCTGCTCAGAGACTGGCGGGTTCCTCCTAGCTGACCTGGGGAGTAAGAGGAAGGAAGAGACGTGGAATGGAAAACATGGCAAATCGAAGATAAAAGTGAAAGAGCTTATCTGGTGATTTGTTGAATTTATGGGGCTTTTCTCTGACTGTAGAAAAAACACCCACAGTGCCAGTGACATAGGAAGGCAGTGGAACTCAGGCACCAGGGACACATCTGCTCCTTAAATAGAGAAACTCTGTCAGCTCGGGCCCTGGGGAGGCGCATCCTGAGCTGAGCTGCTGGCTCCCATCCACAGCCTGACAGGTGCGACCGTGTGGAGTTTCAGTGCCAGTGAGGAAGCGGAGCAGTTGGGGGTCCAGCAACGAACCTCCCAATAGTCTGCTCTGAGGCCCTGAGCTGTTCTGCTCCTCAGAGGTGAGAAAGATGACGTGTGATCAGATAACATGTGTGCCTGCCACTGTGCTGGGTACTTGGTGTGTTGTTTGATGCTTCCAGAAGGTTCCAGAAGGTTCCAGAGGGCCACATGACCCATGGGACTGGCCCTGAGCCACTCCAAATAGGAGTCACTATGGTCAGATCATCTGAAATGGCTATTATTTCTAAGAGATAATTTCAACACATCTTTTAAGCTAAATAAATATAACAATTATAATATATACTTGATCATATTGCAGAAAATGTGGGTAATAGCAGAAAAGAAAAAAAACATATAATTCCACTCCCCACCACAGCCAGTCTTATTTTGGCATGTTTCTTTACAGTCCTTCTTTTAATGCCTCTGAATAGTATAAATACAGTTTTATATTTAACATTACAAACTTTTCCCTATGTTTTTATGAAATCTTTATAACTGTGATTTTTAAATTGATGGTATTTTGATTTCTTATGGAATTTTTTTCAAGTGGGAAGATGTTGAGTTTTCTCATAATTATTAACTGTAGAGATCTAATTAAAAAAAAAGAAATTTTGTGCTAGATCTTGGCTATTAAAAAAAAGCACTCAGAAGCCAAGGTTAACTTTAAAACTATCTTTCCTTGTGTTTCGTTTAACAGGGATCTACCGCACAGAAAAGGATAAAGGCACTTTGTATGAACTGACGTTCAGAGGGGACCAGAAGCATGAATTCAGACGGCTTGTCTTGTTTCGACCATTTGGCCCCATCATGAAAGTAAAGAAAGAAAGACTCAGCATGGCCCACACACTTATTAATGTCATCGTGCCGCTGGCAAGGAGGGTGGGCAAGTTCCGGCAGTTCATGCAGAATTTCAGGTTTGTTGTTAGCCCGTGTTTATCTTCTGCAGTGTGGTGTGTGTTCTGTGCTGATACCATTTCCCGTCATCTCCCTCATTTCCCCTGCCAGGAACAAAGGCCCCTTTCCTTCGTGTTCAGCTCCGGTTTCTTTGTGTAGAGTTTATCATTTGTATTTGCCTTTCTCTAAAACAATTAGAAAACTGCTAGGTAAGCAGATTTACCTTCAGAAGTGAAAATAAGGACGGGCTGGCATCTCATGGATCTGAAGGTGGCCCAGTGCCCGCTGTGCTCCCTTCTGACTTGAGTTTGGGCTCAGGTTTGTGAACAGCAGGGGACGTGCTGCTCCACCACAGCAGTGGGCCCTCTCCAGGCTCCAGGGCAGGCCCAGCTGGCCAGGTGCTGGGGCTGCGGGGTGAGCTCCTTCGCTGGGCGCCGGCTTCACTTGCTGCGCAGACCTGGCGGAGGCCAGGACGGGGTCAGACCCTGTTTCTTACTCTGACCTGCGTTTCCTCAGAGATGAAATTCGGAATTATGCCAGGCCGTTTCCAAGCTCTTGTATTTGAGCTGCTGAGGGAGACTAACAGGGTTTTGTTTTCAGAGGCGTGAGGTAGCTGTCCGTGGGTCCGAGTGCCTATCGTTTCGTCCCTGTTGGTGCTCTGACGGCCAACGTGCACATACTAGTTGAGGTCAAGCAGCTTACCTAGCCAGCTTATTTTAAAGATAGAAAGTGATGTATCCAGTGATAAATTGGAAGACCAAACTTACTTTTAATCTTATTAAATTCACATTATTAAGCGGCAGTAAGCTCAGTGTAAGGGTGTGGCTGATGCTTCCTCTAATTCTGGATAATGAAAGCCTTCTTTGTAAAAATTTTTACAGTTGAAGAATTATACTTTACTCGTTTGGTTTTAAGGTCAGGATCTAGTGGTCCTGGCTGTCTTCTGCTCTGACCCTCCCTTGATTTGGAATCCCTCAGTTGGAGCCCTCACGTCTGTCCTCTGAGCTGTGTGTGCATGCGTGTGCATGCGCGCGTGTGCACGTGTGTGTGTGTACACCAGGCAACTGCCTACCTACCTCACAGGGCAGGCTCTGGGCAGGGAGCGCACCATGCCTGGGCCCTGAGGACACTTCCCTGTCATCTCCCCCGTGTGCCTAGTGCTAGGTCTTAGCAAATCCATTCGCTCTTAGCCTGCATCGTCGCCTTCCAGCATCTGAAGAATGCTGCCACTACCCCCTTTGTCTTTCGTCCCCAGGTTCAAGAGTTGTGCCCTTGACTATGAAATCATGGAGAGTAGGATGGGCTGATCTTCGCAGTTGTCCCCAGTTTGTAGAGCACCCCCTTGGGCACAGCCACTTGCCTGTGGGCTTTCCCTCTGGCTCTGGAGTGTCTGCAGCTCCAGCTTCCTCTTGGCCAACCTCTGGTGTCCCATGTCCTCTGCCTGTTGTCTCATTAGAACGGCAGTGCTGTGGGCTGACTAAGCCTTCCTCCTAAGAAGGACCGATCCTATGATTGGTGCTGGGTAGTAAGTTGAGCCACTGCTAGCAGCAGCTGGTGAGCCCGTTTCTAGGACTGCTGTATGGGAAGTCCCTTTGGCTGGGAAGCTGCCTACAGGTAGCCTAGCGAAGGGCCCTGAGATTTGCTTCCAAACACAGGCCAGTCCCTGATTGTGCTGGGCTTGTGAGATGGTGCTTGCCCTAAGGTGAGGCATGCTTCCCCTAAAGTAAGGTGTGCTTGCACTAAGGAAAGGTGTATTTGCCCTAAGGTAAAGTGTGTTTGCCCTAAGGTAAGGTGTGCTTGCACTAAGGAAAGTTGTGTTTGCCCTAAGGTACAGTATGCTTGCACTAAGGTAAGGTGTGCTTGCCCTAAGGTAAGGTGTGCTTGCCCTAAGGTACAGTATGCTTGCACTAAGGTACAGTATGCTTGCACTAAGGTAAGGTGTGCTTGCACTAAGGTAAGGTGTGTTTGCCCTAAGGTACAGTATGCTTGCCCTAAGGTAAGGTGGCTTGCCCTAAGGTAAGGTGTGTTTGCCCTAAGGTACAGTATGCTTGCCCTAAGGTAAGGTGGCTTGCCCTAAGGTAAGGTGTGTTTGCCCTAAGGTAAGGTGTGCTTGACCTAAGGTAAGGTGTGTTTGCCCTAAGGTAAAGTGTGCTTGCCCTAAAAGACTGTCTGCTCAGGGAAGGACCCCAGGACCTGGAAGAGCAGGGGTATGTATGATTGGCTAGTGCCTTTGTGTCACGGGAATTGCAAGTAACTGACAATATGAATAAAACCAGAAGGGAAATATTGTTGAAAAAAAATAAAATTAGTAGGTTACAACTCTCCCAAAGTGAGATGCTGAAATAACGAACCAAAATCCTAGGGCCTTTTCTCTTGGCTCACCAGTCAGGTGCCCGTACTTGCACATAGGCAGGACAGGGTGGGTGGGCGGACTTTGGAGGCCTGTATGTGTTCCAGATGCTCGACCAGGTGGAGGGGTGAGGAGACAAGTGCAGCTGCAGTGCCTGCCCCCACTGAGAGTAGAGGGAGAAGCTGCAGTGGAAAGAGAGACCAGGGGCCATGGGACACAGAAGGGGTCCCAAGGGCAGGATGCTTGAGTGGGCATTTGCTGTGCAGTCCAGGGTTTCTGAGTGTGTCAAGGTCTCTGAAAGAAAAAAAGGAAGCGAGAGTGGGTGCTCAAACCAGAGGGTATTCCTTCCATGTCAGAACTTTGTAAAAGGTGGCATTCCATATCCTCCAGCAGAGAATGGATGTTCAGTGCATGGCTTTAGGACAACCCACCGAGCACGGCAGAAAAAATTCAATCCTTATTTCACACAATCCCCAAATACCTTCTGGTACATTAAACATCTAAATGCAATTAATATGATGCAAGAATATTGGGAGAAAATATGAGGTGCTATTTCTTAAATATTAGGTGTTGTCTTTATGAAGTTCCTTCCATCCCAGGATTGGAAACCATTAATTCTAGTTGGCACTGAAGATGGTACTATAAGTGATTTTTATTTCCTTCTTTTGAATTCTATTTTATAAATTTTTATAGAGTTATGATGTGTCTTATGTTTTGTTTACAAATTCAATGAAAGGCTCTTTTGGCTTTTGCAATTTACACATTTATTAGTTTGTAGTGATACATGGCTATCATAAGATGTAAAACAATATAGAATACAATAAGGAATAAATTACTTAAAAATTAACTCCTGACCCTGCCTTCCCCAAATTAACCATTTTGAACATTAATTGAATACCATTCTAGATATCTTTTACTGTATATATGCAGATAGAATAACTTGCTAGCTAGAACTAATTTAATACAACATAAGATATGTGATCTATTCTATTTCTAAATAAAGAATTAAGTCTTACCTTTCTTAAATTTATAGAATGGCATCTGAAGTATCACAGAAGCAATTGCTGATCTTTTTTTTTACTATTTCCCCTAATTTTTTTTTTAACAACAATAAAATTCTGTGTAGGGGGGTCAATGCTCAATGTACAATCATTAATCCATCTCAAGCCTAATTCTCATCAGTCTCCAATCGTCTGAAGCATAACGAACAAGTTCTTACATGGTGAACGAATTCTTACATAGTGAATAAATTCTTACATGGTGAACAGTACAAGGGCATTCATCACAGAAACTTCGGTTTTGATCACGCATTATGAACTATAAACAATCAGGTCAAATATGAATATTCGTTTGATTTTTATACTTGATTTATATGTGGATCCCACATTTCTCCCTTTATTATTATTATTATTTTTATTTTTAATAAAATGCTGAAGTGGTAGGTAGATGCAAGATAAAGGTAGAAAACATAGTTTAGTGCTGTAAGAAGGCAAATGTAGATGATCAGATGATCAGGTGTGTGCCTATGGACTAAGTATTAATCCAGGCTAGACAAGGGCAGCAAGACATCCACGGATGCAGAAGATTTCTCTCAAAGCAGGGGGGGTGAGGTTCTGAGCCTCACCTCTGTTGATCCCCAAATTCTCACCTGATGGCCCCCCTGCGACTGTGCCTGTCTTAGGTTGTTCCTCCCTTGAGGAATCTTACCCGTCTCTGGCTAACCAGTCATCTTCCGGGGCCATACAGGGAAATGTAAAGTTGGTAAGTGAGAGAGAAGCCATATTGTTTGCAAAGGTTAGCTTTTTACTTCTTTGCAGATTTATGCCCTGTGGCTTCTATGCCCAGCACTTGTCTCGAGGTATCTTTACCACCTGGAGGAATTATGATACTCGGTAAATTCGATATGAGGCACGAATTCTATTTAAGGTTTGTAATTAGGAAGGAAGAAGAAAAGCTATAGATGTAGCATATGAAGGAAACTTGGGAGGATTGATTATTTCTTTGACATATCTTCTTGTATAGTACCTTAAGTATGTATAGGTTTTAAACTACTAACTAATTTGCACACACATATTAACATAATAGGAATACGGTGACATAAACAAAGCAAATCTATAATTACCAGCCATCTCCAGTGAAGCCAAGAAAACCATTTAGGCACCCTAGGCATTTGTGAAAATTT